GAAAAATTTTTAAAAGTAAGGGAGTTTTATAAAATTTAAACAGAGAGTTTTACGGCCAGCTAAATACAAATCTTAAGTCGGATTTCGAAAACTAAAAATGTCAGATCTAATATAAAGACCAAAAATATTGAAAATTTAGGAAATTGACAGATTTTTATAAAACTTGATACTAGAGATACCTCTGATTCTGATGTCGCCTGAGTTCTTACCCCCTATTTTTGAAATCTTGATATGAAAAAAGTCGAACTGTTACCAGCATTGGAATATCTCTTAATCACCATTTCTTTGTTGATTGGGACGAAACAGTGATTTCTCAGAATCTCTGGAAGTGGTGGAGCTACATCAAATCGTTTTTTCAAAAATTTTTTTGTCTTTTGGTGCTCTTTGTCATTATATGACAGTATACTAATGGGGCATTCTTTCTCAACTTTACACCCATGCTGTTTCGTCCCAATCAACAAAGAAATGGTGATTAAGAGATATTTCAATGCTTGATAATAGTTCGACTTTTTCATATCAAGATTTCAAAAAGTAGGGGGTAAGAACTCAGGCGACATCAGAATCAGAGGTATTTCTAGTATCAAGTTTTATAAAAATCTGTCAATTTCCTAAATTTTCAATATTTTTGATCTTCATATTAGATCTGACATTTTCAGTTTTTGAAATCCGACTTAAGGTTTGTATTTAGCTGGCCGTAAAACTCTCTGTTCAAATTTTATAAAACTTCCTTACTTTTAAAAATTTTTCAAATTTTTGGTTGCCATATTAGATCCGCTATTTTGAATTTTCAAAATGCGACTTCAGATTCGTTATTAGCAACCCGAAAAAGTCCCTGATACCAAGTATTATAAAAATTCGTTAATTTCTAAAAATTTTTAAAATGTTTTGGTGGCTATATTAAATCCGCCATTTTGTATTTTCGAAAGATAACTTTAGACTCGTATACAGTAACCCAAAAAACCCCTTGATACCATCAGTTAATTTCTTAAATTTTTTAAATTTTTGGCGGCCATATTGGATCCGCCATTTTAGTTTAGACTCATGTGACAGTGCACAGATAAACAGAGTACTTGAAAGTATTAATTGGAAGAGAAAAACGTCGAATAAATAATCGCTACACTTAAATAATTACCGTTTTTATTATTTTTTTTCGGTTTTCTGAAATTTTAAGTATGATCCAATTGAATTTGATAATTTTGCCACGCGCCATTGGAAAGCTTACATTTTTCTGTAAATTTTAAGATTTTTTCAAAAATTTTTAGATTAAATAGAAAATGGGCAGCATGGGTGTAAAGTTGAGAAAGAATGCCCCATATACATAAATGTGTGTAAAAATGCGTGTGTACGAAAAGTATCCGGACACTGCTGCACTATTCACACGCCAATATCTCTTTCACCTTACATTTATGTGCGCAACGATACCGCAGCACAGCACAACGTCTCTTTACAAAAAGACCATTAACCCTTACTCTCCAACGACAATTTCTCTTTCTTCAGATCCTTTCTTCACGGTGATACTTTCAATCGCACATTTTTGTCGCTCGATGCTATCGAATATGTTCAAAGTTTTTATTGTTATAATTATTGTTACTTATCGTCTTTATTATTACTTATCGTCATCATCATTATTATTATTATTATTATTATTATTATTATTATTATTATTATTATTATTATTGTCAGCGTTAATATTATTATTATTGTTGTTGTTGTTGTTGTATTTTTGGTTGCCTATTGGCACTATGATTATTGTTATACAGTAAAGAAAGCGAGCGCGAGAAAATAAAAAATAAATTACAGAGATATGTAGAAAAAAAGGTAAATGAATAATAATTAAAAGTTTTAATTATATGCGTGCTCGCTTTTTTAACTATTATCACTATATTTAGTTATATTATTGTTACAGCTGCGCTTATGCTGCGCGTCAAATATGACAGCAAGAAGTAATCGTGAAAAAGTTTATGTTTGAAAGCATGCATTGCATCGATGAGATGAGGAAATACCGTTTTATTATCAAGATTTATTCATAATTTTTTATACATATTTCCAATAATCACATGTGTAATGTGTTAACTTTTACCGAGTTATGTCAAAGAATTCAGAAACGGTATCCTCCTCTTTCTGATGCATACATTGAGTGCTCGTTCATGTATATATATATATATATATATATATTTCATCGTAGATATATATTGTTTTATATTCACCACGTTTTTTCTCACGATATATATCTCTCTATTATATACACTTATTGTAATTATTAGATGTGGAGGAGTGTTTGTGTGATGTCGCGTTTAATTTGTTTTATCATTGTTATTATTATTATTATTATTATTATTATTATTATTATTATTATTATTATTATTATTATTATTGTTACAATTCACTTATTATGCATTCATGAGTTTGTCATGTCGACTAGTTGACCGGCAGAACGCAACTTTCGAGTTTCCCGAAAATTCTATTTTCTTGGCACGTTTATAATAATCTAGATACAGATTAGAAGAAATAAAGCATCGCGAGAGAGATTATTTTTATTTTGGAAAGACCGAGAGTTAGCGTAGCCTTGTGATCTAATTGCACTTTGGGAATGTGGGACGCGCTGGACCAAAGTGCAAGTAGATAGATCATCGATTTTGCATTTTGGAATGGTCATTATCAAAGCTCTTATTATCGGCATACATTAGCTTCTTTTTCTCTCTTTGTCTCGCAGTTGATTTTTCGCTAATTCAAAAAGAAAGAAAAATTGCGACATTGCATGCGATAAGAGTGAGGAGTACGCTACAGTCGATTTTTTTTCCTAAACGCAGGTGGACTTGCACGAGGCGAACAAGAAACTTCAAGCTGGAGCCGCGAAAGTTGGCGCCGATACCAGTCAAGAGAGGAAACAATTGGAGGATCAAAGACGACAATTGGACGAGCAGAGAAGGCAGATAGAAGAGCGAGCGAAGTCCGTAGATCAGAAAGCTAGAACGACAGAAGAAAAGGAGAGGACGCTCCAAAATCTCGACCAGGATCTGAAGAAGAGAAAGGCAAGGATGGACCAACTGGAGCAGCAGCTACAAAAGGTAGACATTATTCTTGCTGTTCTTCAGCTGAAAGCATTCTAGCTTCAACTTTAATTGTTTTTTTGGTCAACAAAAAAATGTTTAAAATTTTAAATGTCAAGAAGTATTTTTTGGTATCTAACTTGTTTCCTTTTTAATTACATTTTAAATTACATGTAATAAGAATTTATTAATAATAATTATTAATATACAGTAGACGTATGTCTCTTGAAGGCAAATAGATGTTCAAAATCGTACAGTTTCTCTTTATGCTTATTAAAATTGTATTGCAAACAGAGTGGCGGAGCGCCAGACAAGAGATTAGCGGAAATGCAAAAGGCGCTCGAAGTTGCCGAGAAAGAGCTGGAAAAAGCAAAGGAAGAATCGAGCAGGAGCTCCGCCGAAACCGAGAGGCTATTACAGCTCGTGCAGATGACCCAGGAAGAGCAAAACTCCAAAGAGAAGCAGATCAGAGATCTTCAAGAGTGAGTATTATCTTACGTTATAAATCTAAAACGATAGTTTTTTTAATACAATAATGTTTAATTCTATAATTTTTGTTATTAAAAGACATAATGTGTATTATGTAAAACATATTACGTAAAAATATTAAAAACTATATTTTAAAGCAAAACAATAATGTAAAATACAACAAATTTGCCTTAATAAATTTATAAATTTTTTATTTATATATTATAATCTAGGTTTTTTTATATTTTATTATTTCTTTTTTAATATAATTTTTTTCCTTTTAATTATATACTTTATATAAAATAAATTTGTGTATGATATTATTTATTTAATTTAACTTGAGGATGATATTATTTATTTAATGCCCTTAATTTTTCTATCGCAGTGCACTCAAAACCGCACAAGCTAAGTTGAAACAAGCTACAACTGCACAGCAAGAGGTCAGTATACATTATACTCTTATCCAACATTAATAAGAAAGACATAAATTAATTAATATTCTTTTTTTATCTATTAACCCACTAACTACTTGTCTTCTGTCATTTTTCACGCTGCCTCCGGATGCATACACAATATTTACATACGCTTGATACATGCTCGCTTTTACATGTACTTTTATACTTTTCTTCGACCTTTCCTTTCAACAAAACGAAAACGTTACGTCTTCGAAATGCTGCAAACAGGCGGGACCCGCTGGATTCCTAAAAAGCTTGTTCTAAGGTCGATTTTCGTTGGGAACGCTTTCTCCGTTCTTTTTAGTACAATTTGCATATTATAAGTGAGATTTTACGAATGTAGACGTACATACGGGAGACTTGAACGAAAGATCGACGTCGATCCGCCAATGGACAAAACCCACGTCGAAACATATAATTATTTTACGTAAAAATGCTGCGACCATTGTTAACATATTTAATAATTATAGCGAGAGGATAATAATGATAATAACACAACAATAACTTGGTATACATAT